TGTTTCTATACTAGTTAGACTTTAATACAAGTTCGTAATACATCAGTTGTTTCTTTACGAGGACACTTTCTTGGCAAATAACTAGGCTAGGCAGCCAATTGTCCTTCGAGCCGGATTTGATCCAGTGACCTATGGATTTCGGTAAACTGTGTAGTAAAATAAGTTACACACACAAAGACGATGCACAGAATACAATTCATAGCTCACATACACAGGTACCTAAATAACAATACCTCAATAACGATCTGAACAACATTCTACGGCAATATTAGTTAATTTTCTAAGTTCCACGGCATAAACAAAACACAATCGCGTAGGCGTTTAATATGGAATAAAGTTTGCTGTTAACAATGATTGATGTTTCTGCTTAAGGTGAAACTAGTACCATTAAGAGAAACCATCGATGCACTCATTGGTAGTGCCAATCATTTGTCGGTAAATCTCTACAGGGAACTGGAGAAAGTCTAACTTTACCATATTGTCAAATCGACACCGCTTTACAAGAATTATTCAACAGAATTCATTGATTGGGTATGGGAATGAGTTTGTGTGCTTGGCAATGCAATTTAGACGCGGTCGTTGTTTTTTGTTTACTCAAACACAGTCAATTTAGTATAGAGGTTTATGGTATTAGAATAGCAACAACAAACAAACAATTCATTATTATTTACATCGTTTTGACGGAATGGATGTCATCAGACTTCATATTACTATAATTAATTTGACTTAAGATCGAGCAAATCTTGTACAGTTATAAACAAATTAAACTCTAAAATCCAATGTTACTGGATACTGTAAAAAATTACTGGTAAAAAATTATAAGACGCAATCAAAACTTGCATGCATTCTACTGTCTTAAAGATAATGACCACGAATGGCGCCACCCTTTCCTCGACAAAATTCAATATTAAGAACATTCCACTTTATACTGATATGATGTAATAAGTTCCTTTGCATTGACAATAAATAAGAAGATAAATATATCTACATTTGAGAAGTACCTTTCGTCCAGTGAAAGTCACATGTCAGTTGCATCATTTGAGTTTTAAATGTAATCAAGATGTAACACACGCCCCGCTGGTCAATTGTCAGTTTTGTTACTTTCTTCTCAAGTAACAATCAATGAGAAGAAAATGATTATTATTTAGATGTCATTATTTGATACCACTTTTATGAGTTATTTAGGTATAAGAAATTGAAATGTTTAAATTTTTTATTTATTTTTTATTATTTGAATGAAATGTATTTAGTAATTTATTAATTAATTAATTTTAATAATGATATAATTTGACATTATCGATTTGGATATATATCTGTAATGATAAATGTGTCTGCACAATGTAACATAATGAATAAATAAATAAATGATTCGAGTGTATTATGCTGACAATTGATTTTGTCTGCAATAATTGTATTATCTTGGACATATTCATGTTATTCATTGATTTTTAGTTGTTATTCATGAGACTCATTGAATCGGCCAGAGGCGATTATGGTGTATCACACTTATCGCATTAAGCCGATTCGCCGGCGACGCAGCCGCTCGGGCGCAGATTCCGCCGTTCGAACACCGACACGGTCGTTCGGGTGTCGATGTGGCCGTATGAAATGTGGCCTTCGCACGTTCGGAGTCGTTCGGCTGTCAACGCGGTAATTCGGATTTCGAAGCTGCTCTTTCGTTATTGACCACCACCGGCGGCTGCGTACGAATACGTTCGAAAATTCGCAGGAATCAGATACGTTACCGATCTGTGTTGAGCTGTGTCGTACAAGCCGATGCAAAGGCATCGTCTTTTCCGCTATTATTACATCACATAAAGCTTTTTCTAAGCGGCTTAATGCTATCCTGTGTCGATAAATGTGGTAACTCCCTCAGAAATTATTAGACACCACATTCCTTTAGGTTATTATGATTGATGGAATTTATAATTCAATAATTAATTTATTATCAAATTAAAGAGAGATTTCACAATATTTTATAATAATAACACACAGACAACATTAATAATATGGTATCTTTACAACTAGTCTCCTTAAGTGAAACTAAATTGTCCGTACTAGTCTATCAAGAATAAATCGGATGCGTGGAGTTATAAATTTAGCATTTTACGAGCTGTTATATTAATATCTTAATCGGGTGAAAACTACTGCTACTATATATTTACATGTACAAGAAACTGATACCTACTTTCAAATGTAACTTTGTAAGATAAGAAATCGTGGTTTCACTGAGCATTCAAAACGTGAAGTCTATGAAGTATTTATTAAGTAAATACGATTGGTGTGATAGGAGTGGATGGCAAATAAGCGAATATGACAGGTTTCGTAAGGAGCGAGTTGCAGGGGGCAATTTGCGCGCGCGCGCAACTTGTAAATCATATTAAACGCTACCTGCTGGCTATCGGAATCTTGTAATCTGACACCATAATGTTCAGGGTTGGGATAAGAATTAAAAATTACCATTATCACTGTTGAATCTAAACATGGGAATACCAACGTGGAAATAAATTATTATGAATCAAGGGTTTTAACTTTCTGCCAATTGTGACTGACATGTGAAACTCGTTTTCTACGCCGTCAGTGGCATTCATATCCTCCTATCATTATTCAAGTCATTCATAAAATTAACCGTAATTCACCATTAATACTGGACAAAGAAAAAAGCCGCTTAAAAAGACGTGACTGTGTCTCTTCTGTCAAAAAAATTCGGTAATCCTTTCAGGTTTGTTGCTGGGTAATGGTAAAAGTATCGTAAAATGGATAGTCGTTTTATGAGAGCAGTTTGATAATGTTTAACACGAATTTATGTATAGCAAGACTATTTGATTCTATGCTTACGGCAATTCGTTTGATAACAGATACTTGTACAAAAAGTGGCTTGGTCTTTAAAGCAAGCGATCAGATCTAGTTCAATCGGTAAACTGAATTAGTTCGGTTTTCTAGTTCTTTTAGTTCATTTTCTTCATTTTGTCCTTGGACAACTAGGTAATTGAACGAACACTCCAAACTACTACTTTTATCCAAAAGAACTACTTCGGACTTCTAGTATTATTAGATCAATTGTAGTACACTTTACTAAATATTTAAACACAAATGTTAATTTTAAAAATACAACTGCGTACTCCAATGGTACGTATTAGAGATTTAAACGGGCTGACAAAATCCAGTCGTGCATCTCACTCGAACTTTTACTTAAAAAAAGCAGTTAAAGAATGATAATTGCTTTTCCTACTGAACTAAAACACAGGTGAACTACTAAGTCTCTGACTCTGGAACGCAGGCAAGTTCCTTGTAGGGGCTGAACTAGAAAGAAACACCCACGAACTATTAAAATCGTGCAAGAAGAACTAGTTCCGTTGGATTAATTCCTAACAGTTCGTAGTTCTCATGTTCGCCACTAAGCTTGAAAAGTTCATACTACTCAAGCCTAGTGGCGATACAAAAATCCACAAGCGTAATATAATTGAAGGAACATATAATTTGGCCACGCAAATGTTTCCAAAAACATTTGATTTTAGTCCGCAGTGTATTCCAATTTCAGGATTTTTAACATAGGCTCATGATGAATGTCGTCAATTACACAATACTTTGCATAACAAACTCAATCTCAGCCGCACAATGATGAAATTAGCTCAGAGTTATGGGAACGTAACCGCTTATGAAAACCCCTTTCTGCCCATCATGTTTTGAGAATGCTGCAGACTATTCATTTCTCCTACATGGACATGTGGTATTAGTGAGATTCTCATTACATAAAATAAAAGTGCCTTGAAATTAGACGCTTGTAGAAACGCTGCATACTTGCAGCGTTTCTACAAGCTTATTTTCATACAATATCTAGTGTTCAAAAGGGGCTCGCAAGTAGCGCGACTGTGGCGCTATGGCTGCGCTTCTTAATATTGTATGAAAATTAGTCTGCAGCGCCACAGTGGCGCCACTGCAGCGCTTCTAAAAGCGTCTAATTTGAAGACGTTCGAATTAAAAGGACATTCCGGCGTAAGTATTGTGGGCGCCCTAAGCAATCTATATTTGTGCCGACTTTCCCTTCTCTTCCAAGCTAAAAACCTGAAGTATCAGGTTTTGCTGTAGCAATCATATCATGGTCAAGTAAAGCGACGCCAAAATCGTTGGCAATCCTTTATAAAACTAAAAAGGACCCGCTACACCGAATAAGCAAGGAGAGACCGTCGTGATGTCGAGAGCACTCAATATTTTCGCCATTTTTCAGGAAATGACGATGTCACGAAAAATACAAAAATGGACTGGTATGGGCGTGCAGGTAAATCGAATCCCATTTTAATAAAACGTAGCCTTTTCCTTGCGATAGATATCACATAAGGCATTTTCGAAATCCCAAATGTAACCTGTCCTGAACATTAATAGCCCATGAACATAAAGTTTTTTTTTAATATTTAAAAACAGTCAGAAAAGGTTGAATCGTTTTTCGTCTTGGCATCACAAAAAAAAGCCCTACACTCTCTCGCTATACCATTGCTCTTATCATGGCTTTGTAGACTTTGTTTCCCTAGCGTCATGATGCCCTAAACAGTGGCTTATCATACTTGCAAGTTAATAGAGCAGAGATAACACCAAACATCGTACGTAAAAAAGATTACATTTTGTGATTTATTTCTTCAGTAAATTTGGGCATGTTATGTTGCTATGTAAATAATGAAAACAATTATTTTTTCCTTGCCGTTACGGCAATCCTGTTGCATCCTGGCAAGTTATTATTGTATCAAATTCCAACAACTTTCTTTAGCATCTTCACTATACAAATAAAAAATATATTTAAAAAATAACATTTAGGAAATTAATGGCCAACCGAAATTAACATTTGAATTATAAATTTTTGTTAATTTTATTCCGTATATTCTAATCGCCTTAGTAATATTGCGATAAAACCAAAAGAAAATACGTGTTGTTCGCAAGTTTTTCGCTTAGCCTATCTTAAACTTTGTATAGCTTTATAAACAACACTAATGGTAAATAACACTTACCACCAACTCAGCAAATTTGGCGTCGAGTTCATCCTGTGGGGGCATCGGGTGCGTGGGAGTGACAGCCTGCAGCGCTAGACCACCCTCGCCCCCCACCACGCAGTACGTAATTTCAGGAGGCTCATCATTCTGGAAAAAAAATTTAACTTTAAATCTGCCTTATATAATACTGATCGGTGGAATTTTTTAAATATGACTCATTTGACAGTCAGATGAAGAGAGAGACAGATGTGAAATATTTATTACAAAATAACTTGAAAGGCATCTGTTTACATCATTTCATTAAAACGTAATAAGCTTTCCATGCGTAAACAATGAAATAAGTGTTACTGATTATATTACGCAGAGACTCAATAATTATAATCAACAACACGCTGCAATAAACCAAAACATGTGATTAATGCAACCCAATTTACCAACCAGCCGAAAAATTCCAGGAATTCAAGAGAACAATCATTTTTGGCGCATTACAATTTTAACACTTCCCAAACATAGCAGTAAAGACCAAAGACATAAATCTTCGAAAGAACGTAATTTGTCGTACATAAATTTTACAGAAGAGTGCAGCAAAAATCTCAATTTAAATTGCGCAGGTAAAAATAAAAGAAAAAAGGTAGTCTCTCGTAGTCACAAGTAAGAAGTCGGACGTTGCATTTCCTTACACGGACAGGGTGAATCGTGCTAATAAGGAAATGGACGTACGGAGAGACAGACAAACGGAAGAACCGGTATAAAGTAGCGTATACGAATCGAGTAAGAATGTAGCTGTAATTGGAAACTAATTGCGTTTAATACGTTAGCGTACTACGGTTTCGTCCACACAATGTGACAATACATGACATGATCGTAGACATCACATATTGACAAGGATTAACGGTAGGTAATAAAATTTTGAGTTTAATAATAATTATTTAGGATCATAATATAATTAAATTGAGTTCTTAGGTTTTCGCGATTGTTACACATAGGAAATGAAACTATATTTCCGGATTTAAATCGCGTATATTTGTTTAACCGTGTAAGTCAACCGTGACCATGGGACCTGTAAATGGTCCGAAACATTGGTTTGTGTGAAAAAACAAGTACAAGCGATTTAAATCCAGAAAAATAGTTTCATTTCCTATAAAAAAAATTTTAAAATAGATGTCCAATACATGCAGTGTCAGTACATCTGACTAGAATAAACTAAACCAAAAAAATCACTTGTGTCGACTACACAACAATTTAATCATCTCTATTTTCAAACATACTGAAGGTATCTACGAGTACTCGGGTACGCTCGTTTCTATTCTTATCAACAAGTTCACTGCTTTATGCGATAATAATGAAGTGATTAATTTGCTAATGAAATAGTAATGATCATTATTTCTCATTGACGTGTATAACTCCATCTTTATCTTCATACGTTTCGTACAATGTACCTTACGTCCGTCTTTTATTCTTCCTTATGTTTAGGTATTTTAGGTTAAATCGAAATTTAAGTTTGCAACAGTTATTTTATGAAATAGTCAACAATTTGTATAAATCCATAACATGTATTGCTATGTTTTATGTCATGTGTTGTGACAATGATAGAAATAAAAAATAATTCACTAAATTGAAACTTATCGAAGAATCAACTTTTACGAGTCAATAAGCCTTAATTGGCGTAACTATGTATTCTTACGGCCTTTTTATCATTTTGACATAAACAGAGGGTCAGGACAATGATATTGTTATAAAATATATCTTCGGTGCGTCATATTCCAACTTTAACCGTTAACCTTTGTGCGGCGCCTGCGCCTGAACTGTCGCTGTCTCGCAGAATCATTGACATTGTAGAACAGGGTTATCATTGAAATCTTAACACAAGTGTAGGTAAGTTTCGATTAAACTTTATACAACTGAAAACTCATAAAATCATTGGCCTCGCGGAAACAAAGGCAAAGGAAGAAAAAAATGACCACATATACATATTGAAAAGAAATAAGCAAGGACGTCAAATTAAAAAAAGTTATTCACAAATGCTGCAAATGCATTAGGGTACACTTCGTAAGCAGTGTACCCTAATGAAGAAAATTAAACAATCCTAAATACATACATGTTATGTATTTAGTGCAAGCGAACCTTTAACAAACGAAACACACAATAATGCTGAGACAATGAAAAAATACAAAAACAAAATATTAATTCAATTCAAGAAGGGCCTGGAAATGACAATGGAAGATCAGATGTAACAGTAAGTTTCTACTTACAAACAATAACTTGAGCATAAAATATTTCGTCGATCAATCAGTGTAATTCTTTTTTATAAGTTTAGTTGAAGATTATTGTTTCTTGTAACAAGTTCCTTTTTTATTATTAGAGACATCAGATAATCAAGAAAAAAAAGAATCAAGTGTGACTGTGAACAAAATGATAAAAATAGTGCAATAGGTTCATGAGTTGTTACTATTAACAAGTAAGAGAAATGAGAGGCCAAAAGTGGCAACCCTATTCAGGGTGCAATTTGCTGCATTATAAAGGATCGCCTCAGCATTATTTTCGTCGATGATTTCACCAAACAGGACTTCCAGAACAATCGACTTTACGATCATAAGAGCTCTTTTATTTAACAATGCTGCTATAATAAAGTTAAAACAGCAATTCAATAAATAAATCTGGTGTTTACGCTAAAAGCATTATATTAATTGTGTACCAGAATCGGTCATATTTATTTTTCGTAATTGAAATGAAACATTCATATACGAAAACAGCTGGTTCAATCAGGGCACTAAAATAAGAGCAAAAGTAATGTTGTAAACAAAGTATAATCGTAGAACTGAACACTAATAGTTTAAAAAAGAGTTCCGCCACTAATGTTCCAATAGTTCCTAGAAGTATCATTACCAATAGCAGTTAATGTTTAAGCAAATAGAAATAGAACTTTTAACAAAAATGGAAACTAAGAAGGATATTTGTTGTTTAACTATCTCATTCAAGTTAGAACTAAATGATGTCAAGCATGCAGGTTGATAGCCTCGTAAATAATGCGCTAATTGAACGATTGTTGATAAATCTACGAAAGCTTATTAACAACTTTTAAAGTAAACTTCTAAAGGAATATGTGTTTTTATTTACAATAGACTAGTCCATAAATTGAACCTTACAGTTGACAACGAGCGTTTTAACAATTTCCTCTTCACCGTTAAGTTAAGACGCTTTAAACTTTTACTTGCTCCTGGACTCATTGTCATGGATTAACACAATCACATTACAATATTTTTACTTGCAGGTAGCATAACCACTATATTATTGCCACGTCACACTTTATTTCAAAGAACAACATCTAAATCTTCTTTATTGTCACAGGATCTAAATTTATCTATATCACTCCTTCAACTGCACATCCTACAAAATAGAATAATATGTCATCTTCAATTGAAAATTATTACTCGTTGCGCCGGCGCCGTCCAATACGTCTCAATCAGAACTGTCTGTAAGTCCTCTGCCACCACTAATTGCTTCCGTCAATATCCTATCGCATTGTCTCGCTCTAATTCAATTTACTATAATGGACAGTTAATTATGTGTGTCGACTCAAACACTTATAAACGCATATCATATTTCAATAGAATAAGTACCTTCTTTGATAGCTTATGCAATTGAATACGACAGGAATAAACAGGATACTGATAGACAAATAAAATCAATCAGATAGTTTTAAATGGATCTGTTTTAATATATTTGTGGAGAACAATATTAAAAATGTATCTAAAGTGTAACTAAAGGACTTAATAACAACAATAAAAACCAATTACCATTATCCGCCGATCAGCCTGAAGAGAATATTTACCCTTTGACTTTTTTAAAATGCCATGTTCTATTTATGAGTCTGTTCAATATTGCTTAACTCTGTTGCAACAGTTTTTACATTGACGGCTGCTTCTTAATTGGCCTCATTGTTGCTTTGCTGGTTGAACCCGCAGATTTGCGTGATACAGTTTAACTGATGACTTCGCAAAGGAAAAATTTTGTCTTAATAATCGAAACGGCGTCATGGTATTTCGGCCTGGGCTAATTGAACTAATTTGCATCTAATATAATAATAACTATTATTTAAAAAAACACCTCATTGTAAAAATTTTCTTCTAGTACGCTATAAATCTCAGTGGTTACTCCTACAGTTGGATCTCATGTTACAACAATTTCACTTGGTTCTCGTTTTACGTCTAATTCAATTACGTAGAGTTGACCTCTCCGTGTCTCATCAATAGAACTACATCGATCAATCAGCCAGCACTAGTGGTGGTTACATCTATTGTTACGTATTCGTGTTTCGTTCATTGTGTTAGACTATCGTTCTAGTTAATGTTATAAGCGTAAAGAAGGTAATATACTGTGATATTTAGGTCGTATACTAGGCTGGTGTGGTGTTATTTTTATAAAATCGGGAAAGAAATTAAGTGAAACCGGGGAGAAGCCAGAAAAGATCAATGGTTGGACTTAATTTTTCAAAAAAATACTACGCCTGAAATGTGTGGAAAGAATAAAAACCACTAGGCTTATCCCAACGTAACGATTATTGTGAACTTAAAATTAGAAATTGTTTTTTTTTTAGGGAACGTACGTTTGTAATTCACGCCTTTGCTTAGCTTTAAACAACGTGCACTCACTTCTCTCTCGTATTGTCAATTTCTTCAATTTCGTTCAAGAAGTTAGAACAGCGTTCTCATGGCATGCTCTAACGGAAACCTGTTGGTTTGGGATTGGAAAGCCGCGCAATGTCGGTCAATACTCGTCGTATTTATTAAGTCAAGATGTGCCAAGAGCCTGGGACCACGTGTGTTGGTGTCAAAATTTCACAGCTGCTTTATGATAGATGATGCTATTAGAGAGAATCAGATTAAAATAGTATGCAATCTTAGTTTTACCATTAGACAAAAATTTTGAGGTATTCGGTTGTGTAACAGACATTGGGTTTACATTTGTAGACCTAAAAGTCAATATGTACAAAATATTAGTGACAATTCAAAATTTTCAACCTGAGTAAAACTGGCATACTTTTTGAAGACCATGATGATGCAAAATCGTTCATTTTACTTAACAGTGTCATTAGAAAATTAGAAATTGCGAATTTCTCTAACAACTAATCACCTTTCAACTGACCTATCGCAACGTTTATTATATCTAATTTAAATAAAATGGGTGTAATGAACTTGACCGGCAGAACTTGATGTCCAAGCAAGTAATTTCACTTTCGAAGAATGTGATCGAAAAACGATAAAACGATTAGTAATAAGCAGTTTGTTTTTTAAGAGTTAATAGTGAGTCATGTAGGATGCGAAAGCTTTAAACAATTGCCCTAAGGCTAAACAAATGCCCCTGTATAAGGATAAACTGGTAATCGGAGAGAATAAGAAGCGATACGAATTCTTTTTGATTACACTCATACACTACTATAGTAGGAATGGAAAAGTACAATCTTTGCTCATTGTCTGCAATTTAATGTGTTAAATTTAGTATGTTTAAGAAGATATTATAGAAAACTACATAAGGCTTTTTTCATAGTGTCCTCTGTTCTGTGCTGGTTATTACTTTTTTGATGGCTCATTTTAGATTATATATCTAGTATAGTACTCTGCCACACTTACTGATTATTATCTTATCATTTATCGCCAAGAAAGCAGGTTAGGTGGTGTATTGCTAAACCTATACTGCAACTCATGACCAACATAAAGAATGTTAGAACTGTAGGCACGCATCAAGTGGAAGCCCTTGCTTGCGGTGAAAGTATCATGAATCGAACCCGCGGCTGCGGATCACGATCCGGCGTATCGAGTTACTTGGACGCGTGCGCATTTGATCCGGAACGATTTTAAGATTGACTATTGGTAATTGGGTTGAATATTTTTAACAATAAAAAATAAAAATTTATTGTTATTCATCGAGTTCATAATCATTAGTGCCTTACAACTGTAAAGAATAACATCATGATGAAGTGTCAAATTAAGTGGCATTCGTCAGGCAATTCGTTATCAATAGATAGTAATTAATTTGTTGAATTTACGCGTTTCATCGACTAAAGCTGATATTAAGATATTCAACCAGCCCAATGATTTTAATAGCTACAGTCTTTAAGCTCCACACACATACATACTTAACGCCCTTTTCCTGTCGGAGTACGCAGAGACTACAGCCTTCCACTTGCTACGGTCCTGAGAGATATCTTTTGTCTAATCAAAACGCGTCAATGCTTTCGCTATGTTCGCTTTGCTTTTGCCAGTATTCTTTTTATTAATTCAGAAACTTAATAATGAAAATTCCTCTAACGCCAGTATCGCATATAAATGAACAAAGAACGCTGTAAGAGTTGCATAAATTATAATTTAAGATAACAATTTCCCATTATAAAGTTACACCCATTTGATCAACATAAATTGATGTATCTTTATGAAACTTATCTTAATGCACTATTTTGGCATTTATAATGGCATTAACCGCTTTCGCAATCGACGAGATTGCCGTTTAATTGGTCTAAACTTGTTAAAAGCTAAGGCTTTTATGGTTGTGGTATTTGGCTTGTTATTATAGGAAATAATTACTCTTACGCCTTTGGTTATATGTTCGTTCCTGGATATTTTGTCCTTCGTTTAAATGGACGCAGTTAAAATCAAGTGTTAATTAGTTGTACATTTCCTGTAATTTGACTGTATAGCATGGGTTAATTGAGAAGTGGATACCAACTGAAGCACAATCTTAACTTTGACATGTGACTGACGGATTGATTAAATACTTATCTTTACGGGAATTCTTTACTTGTTAAATATACAATAGGAATTCACAACAAAAATCGATTTAATACACCATTTCTATCTTGTGCGTTAGAAGCCTTACCTGTAACCTAAGTTTTTGATACCTCAAATTCCATCATCGTCAGTAATTTAAATTTTATTTTTGTCGTTGACAACGCCAATTGACAGATAAGTAAATCTAACTTACATTATAAAAGACAAGTAATAAAAGTTGGTTACTAACCTGCAAACAAGGGCACAGTGGCCACCGTCTCCGCAGCGCATGCGGCATCTTTTTTCGAGGGGGCTCCGGGTCGGGGGGCGGGTCGCCGCACGCCCAACGCACGAGACGCGCGCGGGCTGCCTCCGCCGCCTCCAGCCCGCTCGACCACGACGGCAGACCCTGAGTACAACAAGACAAGTTGTCTTAACAAAATAATATGGACGAATAATTTATTGGTACACTTGATTACCTTCAACAGGGCTCATGTCTTTCACAAGGTCGAGAGTTTCTAGATTGATGCTACCCATCAAAAATCAGTTTGACGAACGTTATGATGAATTGTATTAGTTATTGGGAAACTTAAAATCTAGCAATCGGTCTGCTGCTACAAATATTGTTAACAATGATAGATAACAAATGCATTGAGATACTTCGTAGAACAATCTCAGTCAAGGGCATTAACATCATAACATAGGGTATTCGGAACGGAACACGCAACGCTACGTAATGTAACGGAACGTTAAATATAGAGTTGAAGCACCTTTAAGATCAATAAAAAAAGAAGTTATTAGCGCAGTCGATATCTGTGACTAGGTATGGTGCTTAATCACGTTCGTTAAATAGTGGCTTATATCTGTTAATTTACAATTATCGTATTAACCGAAACGGTAGCAACAATCGCACCCTTCATGAAAGTATAAGCATAAGTGAACTTTGGTAAAAAATGTTCATTGTTCCATTGGATATAGACAAATATAACCTACATCCTCTCCTATTCTTGTCTCTATCGATTAATATTGTCGACAGAGTTACAAGAATTGGGGAGGATATAGGTTATATTTTTCTGTCTCCAATGGGGCAATAAACATTTTCGACGTAACTTCACTTTCTTACATGATGGGTGCGAAATAATCAAATTCCTAAAATTGACGTATTATTTTGGCTATAGTAAACATCAATAAACAGAGCAAACGCAATAAAATTTATTTTATTAGATCAAATTTAATTACGTCACAACTTAAATTGTTTGTTTTTCTTCATTACGGTGATACGTCAATAGCTTGCGATGATTGAAGTTAGAATCGACTAACTAGAAATATCGGTTCACTAGCGCCTCTAGTTAGTTCACGGTGATATGACGGTAAGAGTGAAATGTTCCCAATAGCGCCGTGAGATTGTAAACACACGGATGGAAAAACGAGAATACTTTCTTCGCGTGACGTAACGGTTTAGGAAGTGAGTTACGTACAACATTTTTAAGCTAAACACTTATTGATAATGCTAAATGTAGGTGTTGTTTATTTCGAACTGAATTAGTCAATAGTGAACCACAATAAGCAACCCGCTAAAGGGGCAGTGTCTTAAGTGATCCGTGTAAATTTATTTAAATTACCAAAGCACTGGGAAATTCATAACTACATAACGTTAATAGTAATTCACAAAAAATAGTCGCTCATTCATCCTCTCAAAAACCTCAGATATTCATCCAGCGCCAGCGCTAGGAGCGTCCGAGTTCAACGAATACCCTGGCGCCCTCTAGTAGGCACGCGATAAATGTAACACTTAGTTGTATTTTCCCCTGTGATCAGAAATTCGAGTACAAACTAATTATAAATGATGTTGGGAAGCAATTAGCCCGTTTACTTTGCTTGCCCGAGCGCGACACAGGCTCTAAGAGCCTGCGCTCGTGTGTGCCGCACACCCTGCACCATAGGTAAAGCGGGCACTGCATTAATCACACACAGCCACCCATCTACTTACAAAAACACCGCAGTCTGGTGCAGATACAAGAATCGCAGAGACCTAAGGCCTTAAGACAGCGCAAAGCGCGAACAAGCTATGATTTACTGTGAGACATAGTGCGTTAGTTAAGCTATAATTTGTATACAATTCTCGTTTTGGGAAATATTTTGTATTGTGTCAGCGTGTCCTTGAAAATCTACGCAACTACGCATTCGCAAGTCGTTGTCAATCCGATGTGCATCAACAGTCAAGCGCGGTAATTTACTAAAAAAATAATTAATTTAGTTCTAACATTGCACATTTACGTTGACCTTTCGCACTTCTTATAAAACTATTATTTACGAAAGGCGGCGTCAAAAGCTGAAGGCAATTATAAGAGACAGTAATTGCACAGTTCTCAATGACAAATCCTCACTTTCGTAAATTGCGACGCTTCACTGAGTGTATTACAATCTCATCAAAATATACTGGTATACACAAATCATTTCACTATTTTACGCAACAGATAAAGCAACAATATCAATTACAACATAGTAGTAAGGAAGCAGACGTTTGGTATTATCATCAACCTATATACATCCTGGGCACGAAGAGGATTTTTGGCCACAGCTCTATTGTGACCCAATGAGTATGGGACGTTTGGTTTACTTAAAATGTCTACGATTTGAACAAGTTTTTGGCGATCGACACGTACGTACATACTGTTTCTTATACATTCACGAGATTTTGTCTGATCACATATGTTGATCGATAAAAAATACGACGATGATCGTCTGTTGCTTACACGTTTTGTTCGATCTCATGTGTCCATCGTCAAAAAATCGAGCAAATCTGTAGGTACCTTAACTCACACTTTTAATTATGATAAAAACTTGTATGTATTAGTAACTACCAACATAAATTTATGTTTAGTTGTTTATCTTACTTGAGAATCTGCTATTAGTATAATTTAAATATTATACTAATAGCAGATTATTCGTAATCCCGCGGAACTATATTTTTAAGCTTGTCATAAGAATTATGTAGCATACAAAGCATGTGTATCACTTAATAATTTTATTACACTAACATATATTACCTATAACCTATTTGTGATTTTGGCAAGTATCAGTAGCGGAGGGTGTAGATATACCTACAGAGATATCTTGTAAAATGCTCACAACCTCGGGACTATACTAATAACATCACAAATATATAACTATATAACTTTTGTTCCATGACTTTTAATAATTTATTAGATTTGCTTTTGTACAAAGATAAAAATATTTAAATAGACAACTACTACAAAACAAAGCGTTAGCTGAACTTACTACCAAATGCAAATTTAAAAAGTGTCAGATACAAAAAAACTTAACAGTTTATTTTTCATAAATTTATTATGTTATGTAAAAAGCCATGGAACTAAAATTGAAGTTTAGTAACATAGTCCCACTTACGTAGTAACTATTAAGTAATCTGTGGTCCTACGGTGTCGTTAGTATTTTTTAAAATAACTATGTGTAAAAGAATTCTCATCTTGCTTGCTTGCATATGAAATTTATTCACTAGCTTTTAGTCGGTATTGAACGAAAAATATACCTTCTACCTCGGCTTACCTTCTTCAACTTAGAGCATAAAGAAATAATATTTAAGTATTTTGAATTGCACACTTTTTGAGGTGTTTCAATTCCTTGGCCGCCAAATTCCAACCCCTGAATGTATGCACACCCACCGTCGAGCTTTGAGTTTCGACATAGAGTATTGTTCATTTGAACTTTGCTGTCGACATTTGGCAAGTTGCAAGATGCTGGAGCGTGATAAACGCGATTCTCAGATGTTTTAGCAGCGATCTAAACGCTCTTTACGACTTTAGCTCTAGTTGTTGCTTTACATATTTAAAAAACAGTTGTATGTTGTCATATAGTCAGACGTGACCATGGGATTTGTAAAGGGCACGAAACGTTGGTTTATTTGAAAAAACAAATATATGCGATTTAGATTTGAAAAAATAGCTACATAACCTATGGTTTAACAATGGCGAAAACCTAAGAATCCGAATAGTATATTGTTTATACACAGTAGAAAGATTGATTTGAAATGCTATTATCCAAAAGTGTTATAATGAATGCCTAATGCCAACATCGTAATAATTTTAAACTGCATACCGTGCGAAAAGAAACAGTTTTCTTACCGATGTTCCAATAACAACTGGAAATATAAGAAATAATTGAATCGTATAAAACTTTCTGCAATTAGAAATAGTAGTAAGCACCGGAAAGGCACTTATCGACATGTCTATTTTATGGACAACGTCATCATAGACCTAGTGAACATCGAAAACCAATCCGCGTCACAGAAACCGAAGTTGCCATAAATAAACAAAAGACTATTCGGCACCTAAAACAAAAGTGTATTGAATTGAACAATCGTCAATACCGACAATACTTTCCAGTAGCCATGAAAATCTGCCTAGTAGGTTAGGGTGTCATCATCAGTACGAGGGTCACGTAGGTGATGAAGGAAGTACCGGGTGAAAGTGATGTTTGTGGTGACGAGTGAGTAGATTTGGAATGTGGTCGGAAAACAGGTGGTTTAAACGTCACTGACACGCCTGGCGTGACGTGAATGTTTTGTTTTATAAAGGACAGTTATTATTTAAGATGACATAGTATATTATTTAGTTGAACAGTTTGTCAATGTCCTTATTCAGTAGAATAAAAAAAAATAGAGTAAAAAAAAAATACGTCCAAAATTTAATCACTAGTTTCATTTTAATACTATTGATTACAAAAGTATTTGATTACGTGTAAAGGATAGACGGCAGTAAGTGAACGGCACTGTTATAGAAGGAAAGGTGTCCTTAAGAAAATCCAATCTAAAAGGGCCTAGAACAAATGCACACATGGAATAGGTCCAATTTTAAACGGGTCCATATAACACGATTCCCATTGGTTTGCCTACGAAATGTATTGTCGAACTTAGTAATGCATATTGAACGGCAAATGGCTTGCATTGCAGCATTGCTGCGTACCTTTAAATGCCTCCGTGGCCGGACGGTTACCATGTCGGACTGCCACACAGAGGTCCCGCGTTCGATACCCTGGCCGGGAGAAATATTTGTATGGCCTACATTTATTTTTCTCGTGAGTTTGTTGGGTATCATTTGTGGTTGTCTTCGTGTGTGTCCATGGCGCCCGCGATACAGGGTTTCCATAGTGCGAGGCTATGAGTGTATGCGTTGTTATTATTATTATTACCTTCTACCTCGGTTTACCTTCGTCTACTATCCATCCTCGCCACAGGACACAACTAGAGATGGGTCATGGATAAAAATCCATTTTTACTCGATATTTATCCAAAAACGGGGATAAATATTTTAAATCGTGGTTTATTATTTACATTTAGTAAAAAAAGTCTATTTTTAAGCTTAATTGTAAACATTGATACAATTTAGTAGC